ACCAACATCCGGACGTCCTCGACGTAGCGTTACTCAAAGACATCTGGGTTACGATCAACTCGTTAGATACTTTTACTGAACTAAACTCGGACCACAGGCCGGTCGTTTTACAAAGAGGCCGGTCAGCATGTGATTTTGTTGCAGTGTTTTTTAGTGTTTGTGCAGTGTGCAAATTATCGACTGGCGTAAACTTGAGGTAAAACTCAAGTCTACGAACTCCCAGTATTTAGACACTATACCGGACAAGATAGACTCGCCAGAGGAAGCCAATAGAGCGATTAGCACCCTATCGACTCACCTCACTTCAGCAGTTGAAGAATGCTCCCGTAAGGTTCGTGTGTCGAGTGATCAAAACACCCTTCTAGCAGATTTTCGATAACTGATTAGAGCCAAGAATTCCGCGCTTAAATCTTGTGACTTGATGCACGGAATTTGACAGGTGCATGCGGCTGCATAGTAATTTTATGGAGAATTCTGAAATGATAGTTGATAACCTCTTGGAAGGAATTAAACCATCTCAAAAAGAACCATCTCAAAAAGAACCATCTCTTAAAGCAGATCTTCTCGTAAAGTAAATCTTTACCAATGCCGCCTCTCGTGAGGCTAGACCACCCCGACCTCGCCTAGATGATCTAAAAAAGCCGAATGTAGGCATACGGCTTTTTCTCAGCTAGGGCCAGCAGTCTAGAGTATCAGTGCACCCCATCTACCGTACCAACAAATCCCGCTCACCTACTAGAGGTAGAAGTGGGAGTGGAACGTAGGTCTACGTTGCCACCAGCGGGCAAACCATTCGATCCTATGACCATAGATGAAGTCACAGAAACCATTAAAAGCCTTAAGAATATATCAGCCACTGGGCCAGACGGCATCAGCAACAAGGTGATCAAAACTCTCTTTTGGCTCCACCTATTTATCTCCTCGTAGGAATTTTCAACGCGCTTCTCACGAGCTTCTCCTTCCCGGATATCCGGAAACAAGCAGACGTAATAGGAATCCTAAAGCCGGGTACACCGCAAAATCGACCCACCAGCTACAGACCCATCAGTCTGCTCAACACGTTGGGAAAATTATATATAAATGCATTATTCTGAAGCGTCTCCTTCACTACACTGTAATTAACAGGCTCCTCCATGACGAGAATTATGGCTTCAGAGCCGAACACTCGTGCACTCACCAAATTCATTGCCTAATAAAATATATTCTCTTTGGCTTCAATCGCCACCCGACAGAGAAAAAGTCTCGAAACACGAGAGCCCTCTTCTTCGATGCCACAAAGGCATTTGAATAGGTCTGGCACGACGGCTTGCCTTACAAGCTGTACAAACTAAACGTGCCTGATAGGCGCGCGGATATCATACGAGCCTTTCTATCAAAACCGCACTTTCCGCTATCGAGTGGCGGGAACCTGTTCCACGAAGCGCTCCCTAAAGGCCGGGGTCCCACAAGGCTCTGTCCTTTCTCCAATTCTCTTCACACCCTTGACGAGTGATATTCCAAAAGACCCAGTGGTGAACACCGCACTCTTCGCCGATGATATAGCACTCTATTCATCCGACTACAATAAAATTAGTCTCACTTTTATCTCCAAAAAGCTACCAATTGCCTAGGCGAGTGGTTTCGCCTATGGAAAATAGAAGTGAATTCCGAAAAAATTGTAACAGTATACTTTCGAAGGAATCCAACAGAGCCGCGGTTCAAAACCAAAACTAAAAGTCCCTATACGGTCGCCCCATCCCTTGGGAAAAATCAGCCAAATACCTGGGAGTCACGTTCGACGCCCGCAAATATTCGCGAAACACATAAGTGTAGTACGCAACAGAGCCAAGAAGTCATTGGCCGTCCCCACCTTCTCGTTATCAGCAAAAGTAAGCTGTCGCTAACACACAAACTCCACCTGTAGGAAACCTGCGTTAGACCTATAATGTATTACGCAAGTGTAGCATTGCTCACACTTTTAAGAGAAATCCTATAATCCTCCTATATAAAAAATAACTTATAAGACCCATCTTCTAGAACTTCAAAAAAGTCCAAAACTTTTTCATCCGAAAAGCCACCGGTGCACGATGGTATCAACGGAACTCAGATTTGCACAATCATTGTGAAATTACCTCTATCTTTTTTTGAGTTGTTGCATTTCTTTGCGTATTTTATCGCACTGGGATAAAATACACAAAAACATGCATATCGGATACGGATATCGGGAAGTGCTCTGATGAATTGTTCGGACTAATTCCAGCCGCACAATTTCAGCATCGCTCATCGCAACAAAACTCTCGATACCATACATTCCATCTGGATGACTGGCAGTCCACCACTGTGCAATTCAAAAGAAGTTTATACAATATGTTTTCAATCTTTCAATTTTAAAAGTTCCTTGAAATAAATAAATAAGGAGAAACAAGGAATATTATAACGGAAGTGCTGCCAACAAAATTCCAAGAAAGCAAATACGAAGAGGAGTAAGTTTAACGAACCTGAACGAGCTACTAGAACAGATCTCTTACTCCTAGATTGTGATACTTTACTTGCTGTAACAAAAGAACGGCATATATATATATATATATATATATATATATATATATATATATATATATATATATATATGTGTGTGTGTATATATATAAATAGGGTGATGATACCTCCACGATACAAGTAAAAATTCAAGTATTTTTATGTAATGCAACCGTAGCTGTAGCTGTCATATCGTACTATCTTGGTGTAACAAAAACCTATCCACTATTGTTTTGAAGACACCTGGATAGTAAACGGATGGAAAGCTAAAGGCCAGTAAATTATTCAATTGTTTGATGTACGCATTACAAAATAAGAAGCAAGCCGTTTGGTTCAAACGCGTAGAATATTGACTACAAAGGAGTAGAGATCCATTGACCTTCTTGATATCTAATGGTAGAAAGCGTAGGTGGGAATTAATTTTAAATTCGGAAGACATAGTCCTACAAATTTCGATAACACGTATTTGGGCAACGCGGCGCATGAATATTGTTCCAATCCCATAAAACCCATAAAACAATAGTAAATTAAGGATATTTATTGCAACCAGATATTAATGGGGCTCCCATATACCTAAATATGCAGGCAGACTTAGTTCTGTATGTAGCAGCTGTAGTAGTCGAAAGAATAGAAGTCTCACCAATGTTGATACACTAGTTTGTTTTAGTTACTTTCATAGCGTGATGTCTTATGGAATTTTGCTATTGCGACTGACAATGAAGCCATGTTTCTTTTCAAAAAAGATAGATATACGGGCGATTTATAACTTAAATTTTATTAGAGAAAATTTTAAATATTTAAACATATTGATTTTAGTATCGCTATTTAATATTGTAAATATAATGTATATACATAAAAAAGATAGCTTTAATAATAATAAAAATGTCCATACTTTAAAAACTAGAAACAAACATAAGCTTGTAGTACCAGATAGTAGACTCCACAGAATTAGTAATCCATTTATGGGGCAATGTGCAACATTACGATACGCTTTTACAACAAAATTTCAAAAAAATGTAAAAAAAATTTCAACAAACAAATTTAGTAAATACTCTCCTCTGTCATCCAGAGGCGTAGGCAGAGACTACAGACTTCCATTTGGCATGTTCCTGACACACCTCTTTCGCCTCCTCCACATCCATATACCTGCCACCTGAACTGAACCAAATATTATATTAAAGAAATGTTGTACAAAAAGGGTTATTATAATATCGAAGAATACATAAATTAAAATAACTCCTTGGAATGGGCTGATCGCCTCCATGCTGGTTCTATTATATATAAATCAAGCGCAAAAACTTAATAATGATAAATATATTGAGCAATCGAAAAATAAATGTCGTGCTTCCTGGAATATAATAAAAAATCAGACTTGTTGCATAAATAATAATTTAATTCAAAAAGTTTGTACAAATAACAAATATTTGACAGATCCTTAACAAATTGCTGAAGCCTTCAACAACCACTTTATTGAATCAACAAATATCAATAATACTAGTAATCAGTGCCAAAACACTAATAGTCTAAAAGTATGTAATAGCATATATTTAGAAATGTATACTGTTGATGAAGTATTGAAATTAATACAAACATTAAATAATACGAAGTCGGAAGGTTTTGATGGTATTTCAACGGATGTTATTAAAAGTTGGTGTACGGTTTTAGGTAGAGTATTAACTTACCTAATAAACCTGTCATTTAAAAAAAACTACTTTTCCTAGTATCTTAAAAAAGTCAGTTGTTAAGCCGATACATAAAAAGTAAAAAATACAATGAAATATAATTTAATTAAAAGTGAGCAATATGGCTTTCAAAATAATAAATCTACAAGCCTTGCTGGATATGATCTTGTAGATGCAATTGTTAAGGCTATAAATAATAAGCTAAGAGTTACAGCTCTCTTTTTGATATGTCGAAGGCCTTTGACTTTGTATCCCACAAAATACTCTTACAAAAACTTGATAATTTGGGGTTTTGAGGCCCGGTCCTAGATTTGGTTTGCTAGCTATCTAAGAAATAGGATACAATTTGTAGAATTAACAAATATTGATAATTCACAGACATTAACTTCTTATAAATCCAGTGATAGATTAAATTCATTTGGAGTTCCACAAGGTTCCGTATTAGGGACAATTCTTTACCTTTTATATCGTCGGTCGAAAACAGTAGTGGAACATCTCTGAAAATTTGGTTTTTAACTTTTTAAGAGTGTTATATTACTATTTCAGTGCCAATTCTATATCAGTATCGGAATAAGTCAAACTCCACATAGAAGTCGATTAAAAATGAAAGTTCCACTTCTACTCTGTGCATATAGTATTATTAAGTATTGGGACACTTCGAAATGTTCCAATCTCAAAATCAAAAGTTGAATTAAATTTATTCCATCACGATTCTCGATCTCGCTCGAGTCTCGCGCGCCTTTGTTTAGTTACGCGCTGCTGTGCTTAGTAGACCGTATTGTAAAAGTAATACAATCTGCAAAAATGTCTGTGTCTAAGTTATATGAAAGATCAATGAAAATGTTGCAAATGGTAATCCATGAAGACGCCAATATTGAAAACAAAGGTGTGTATTCTATTTGTAACGTTTGTGTATTTTGTAAAGAGTCGTTACTTTTAAAATTTTGCACGATTTGGCTATATTTTTAACCACTTTTATTCTACAGAAAGTGAGATAAAGCAAGTTGAAGAGTATTCTTTGCCACAAAATGTACAAAGTCTAGGTAAATAATTATTCACTTTTGTGTTTTATCTAATAAATCTTATTAAACATTCTGTCCTATTAACTGCTTTTATTGCTTTTAAGATGCTGAACAGACATTGAACATAGAAAAATCTCCAGACACTATTTTTATATCTAATAATAATGAAGTTGGTGAAATACAGCAATATGTTGAAGAGAATTCTTGGCCCCTGAATGAAGTACATAATCGAAGTACGTACCTATCTTCATGTATTTAAGTACATAATAGAGGTACCTACGTACCTATATGCATATATTATTTTTGTGTTTTGGTATAGTGTGTATATTTAACTGTTTGAATTCCTTTTAAGGTGTAGAGCAGGCAATAAATATGGAAAGTTGTACATACGATAGGTTCGTAGCCAGCCAGCATGAGCCAGCAAATGAAGCTTCTAATCTAGGTATGATTTTTTATACTATTTTAATAAACTAGCTTGCTGCCCATCAACATGTATTTCATAGTTCTAAATTATTTATGCAATAGCTTTATACGAGGTCTTTGTTAGCTTAGGTGGCGAGCTTATTGAAATTTTAGGAGGAGGAGAAGATAAAGAAAATAATATACTAATAAACAGATAGCCGTCACCATCAACCCCGCTTTCTAAAAATAATGCTTCGGAAGAAAAGAAGAAGTTGACAAGAAAGAGACAACGAAATCCCGAGGCACGGAAGAAAAATAAAAAGAAATGTTTAAAAAATTCAGTTATGGCTTTCTACTGAAAAAGGAAAATTAGTTAATGCTAAACAATTAAAACCTGGTTGTGGAGACAAATGTCGGTTGAAGTGTACACTGAAGATGAGCAGCAAAGATTAGTAATATTCAATAATTTTTGGATATTAGGTGATTTGAATAGACAGCGAGATTTTGTCAAAAATGCTATGAAAGAAGTAAAGCCGAAATATTCGCTACATAATGCTGAGAGTAAAAGATCTATTAATGCGGCTTATCATTTAACAATAGATGGTATAATTAATTATAAGGGTATGTAAAAAGTTCTTTATGCACACTTTGGATATTGGGCACTCATTTATAACGACGTTATGTAAGAAAACAACATCATCGGGTATAGTTTTAGAAGATTTAAGAGGTAAGCATAACAGGAAAGCTAAACTATTACCTGACTTTGTTAAGGATGGAGTCCATGAACACATAAACTCATATCCTACTAAGGAATCGCACTACTGTCGAGCATCATCAAATAAACAATATTTTGATGGTGATTTAAATCTATGTATGATGTACAGGCAATACAAAGAGTGATGTAATAAAGAAGGTAAGCCTGAAGCTAAATAAGGAACGTATGAAAACATTTTTAGAACTGAATTTAATATAGCTTTTCATGTACCAAAGAAGGATCAGTGCTCTCTTTGCTGTTCTTATAATAATGCAACAACAGAACAGAAACAAGAAATGGAAAAGAATTATAAAGATCATCTTACAGAAAAAAGAGCTTTGCAGAGAAGAAAAGAGGACAGATATAGAAACATGCGAAAATGACAAACAAAAGATTATTTGTTGTTATGACATGCAAGCGGTTCTTCAAACTCCAGCGGGTAATGACTCGCTATTTTTTTATAAGAGACGCCTTAATGTTTATAATTGTACCGTGTATTACATCGTTAATAAATCTGGACATTGTTATTTATGGGACGAAACTTTGGGTGGAAAAGGATGCGACGAAGTAAGATCTTGTATTTTACAGTTTTTCAAAGAATTTTGTCATGGAAAACATGTTATATTTTATACCGACAACTGCTCAGCACAAAATAGGAGTAAGTATTTATTGTCATTATACTATATTATGCCTTAAAAATGTTGGGTGTTAAATCTATAACACATAAATACTTTGTTGTCGGGCACACTCAGAACGAGGGCGATAGCGTTCATGCCACTATTGAAAGAGAAAAATTCAGAATGTTAAAAAATGGTTCCGTGTTCGTGCCATCTCAATGGAGGACAATTATACAATGTGCTAAGAAGAAAGGTAATCCCTACCAAGTTCATGATTTAGATTATTCAGAAATTTTTGATTTAAAAGAACTAAGTTCACACTTTCGGAAAATTTTTACAATAAATACAGAAGGAGAGTGAAGTGTGGAATGATATCAAGAAAATATTTATGCAAGCTACTAATCCTTTTACTATTTATTACTTGGACACTTATCAACCTGACAGTACAATGAAATGCTTCAATGTTCGGCATAAAATGCGGGGCAATCCTAACAACGAAACATTAGTTTTGACAAATAAATATCGCACTCATCCTGGAATATCAAATCTTAAAAAGAAAGATTTGATTTCATTATGTGATGGTAAAGTAATTCCAAGCGTTTATTGGGATTATTATAAAACATTGCCAGCTTCCTCAGATAGAGCTGACGATGACTAATTGTTCCCTTTTTTATATTTTCTTACTTATAAATAAAAAAAATGTTATAAAACTATAAAAGTGTTTTATTAATTATTCTCTAAAAATGCAATTATTTGCTAAGGTTTTCTAGATTTCATTTTTATTTAGGTCATTATTTGAGAAAAATACATAGTTTTTTAATTCAGTACTGGTACATTCAAAAATATTCCATTCCTGAGGAATATTTGCAGTCAATAAATTAATTCAGTAGTGGAACATTTCAAATATTTACTTATACTAAAAAAACAAATAATAAAAAATGGATGAATTTAATAGAAATCATAAATGTAAAGTCTAACCAAAATATAACAACATTAAAAACAATCCTTTTTTTTCTCTAAACACTTACTAAATGGAAAAATAAGTATTTCTAATTTTTTAATTGCTCAATATCTCACATTTACTCATTTTGAAATGTTCCACTACTGTTTTCGACCGACGATATATAAATGACTTACCTGACTCAACTTTATACAAATGTATTTTATTTGCTGATGATATTTCATTTATTGTGACATCTAAAAAAGACATTGACATTGACATCTATGAATCTAATATTAATAATACTATTGACAATATTTCAAAGTGGGCGACATATAATAATTTATGCATTAACGTAGAAAAGACATGTTATATTCAATTTAGTAATTAAGGAACATTGAATAATAATCTTAATATATATTGCAATGGACAATCTGTTAATGAAATGACTGAAACAAAGTTTCTGGGAATATTATTGGACAAACATGTGAACTGGAAAGCCCAAGTTGAAAAAGTCTGTTCTAAAATAAATAGCTACATTTTTCTTCTTAGCAGACTGAGAAGAATTACATCTCATGAAACATTACTAACGGCGTACTATGCATACATTTATTCTGCACTCGATTATGGTCTTTTGCTTTGGGGTAACAGTACAGATGCTATTAAAGCCTTTACAGCCCAAAAGAAATGTATTCGAGCTATGAATGGTTTGGCACCAGATTCATCGTGTAAACCGTATTTCAAAAAATTACACATTTTGACGCTGCCATGTATGTACATACTAAATTTGGTATGTTTTGTTAAAAATAATATGCTTTTATTCACAAAGCTAAGAAATACTGCACAGAGAAACTTGAGGCATACTGAAAGATTGACACATAGTGTATTGCCAAGCACTAGCCTCTATAGGAAAAATTGTTCAGCTATGTGTATAAAAATCTTCAGTGCACTGCCTATAGAGTTTCAATCACTCCCAAAGGTACGTTTTCGCAGGGTTGTCAAACAATGGTTAGAGGAGCAATGCTTCTACTCTGTTGAAGAATATTTAAATTTTTTGATTAGGATTAGGGATCGATATTGAAATGAATTATGTAACTACTATCATATTATTTTAATTAAATTAAATGTAATAAAATTATTATAATGATTTTGAAAACATGTTATTAATTTATTAGTTGTGAAAATGTAATTAATGTTTTAGATAAATATTTGTATGTCAACATTATGACAAAACATGCTGGACTTAAATAATTTACCAACCTGTAATGTACCATGTTTTCTGCAAATAAATTATGACTATGATTATGATTATGATTATTGAAATTCTTAAAAAATTTTACAAACAAAATTATTGCTAAGTGAAATATATATTTTTTACTTCCTCTGAGTTTCATGCTGGTTCTACCCAAGACAGAGGTATTTTCCGAATCAGTGGCGAATAAAAAATGACTTTCAATAAGTGTTATGTAATAATCTATAATGAATTAAAATTACTATATTTTATTCTATAAGATCTTTTGTTAGGCTTACAGATAATTTCAGATTTTTTATTTATTCAGATTCCATAATTTAAGGAGCGATGGACTCGGCTAATTCATAAGATTTAAGAAAAGTCGATATTTAACAGAATTTCTCACGTTTAATTTTAATTATTTTCTGTACTTTTTGTTTTATCTAAACCTTGTGGTTTAAAAAAATTAAATAATTTATCTTGTTTCGTTTCTCAGTCCCTTCGCCTCCTTCTTCGCGTGATACATAAGTAAATCAGCAGCATAGTGACTGTATATAAAAAGGTAAGGCTTCAAAATGTGCATGCTTAAGGCTACGTATATCCATTCAAAGATTAAACGCAGCCGACGTTCTTGGCACGATACCACAGGGAGTAGGACTATATGATAGTTTAAGTTATTAGTTTTAGTTTTACTTTTTTATTATAATTTCTTTTGGATATTGCATATATTTCAATGTTATGTAAACAATAAAATACACTTGCAGATTTGTATTATATTTATTAACTGACAACTACCCATTAAAGCTTATTAAAGTTTGCTGCTGAACATAGCCCCCCCCCCCCTCCCCCCATAGCTGCTACGATTGGCAAGCGGGTTGGCAAACACAGTTTTTTATTTATTTTTATCTTTATGAGGAAGATTTCTGCTCCTGATTTTGAATCGAGAAAGAGAAACCTTTTTATTCAATATAGATTATAAATAATACTTGTTAAAAGTCACTTTTTTCTTTTTTTTAATTTACCACTAGTTCAAAAAACAACCTCTGTTGAATAACAGTTTACAATCGTGTATGTTACAATCAATAAAATAAAACAGTTCTCTGAATAACTATAACAAACAAACATATATGACTGTATAACCTCCAAATAACATTAACAATGACCCGGTGGTGGCGCAAAGGTGCTGTTATGGTAATTACAGGAGGGAATATTCGGTGACTCGTGCGATAGCTCAGCTCCCTTTCGTGCGGCTGCTGGTCTCTTCTCTTGTGCACCACTCACTCGAGAATATTTTTCTAAATATAATTTATATGAACACTTCACCTTTACGCGGGACTGGAAAAATTTTACAGCGTATTAATGACACGCTGTGTCCGCTGTTATTCGTAAGTGATCCGAAAACGATGTGAATAGACGGTCGTTGTCTTTTACATCGAATCTTCTAGTTGCAGCGCCAGCTATTTCACCAACTCTTTAGGACAAGGAGTGGGAAAGAGAAGATAAATTATGAATATAATTACATGATGATACTCTAATGTGATTGGTACATTCATACAATTTTTAAATATGTGAGAAAATAGCGTCAACGCCCGGGTTAGAATCCGGATTCGACTAAAGAAATTAATTTATTAGGTTTTTCTGTTAAGAAACTGTGACTTGGAGAGCACGTAATTCCG